GTGGTTGCAAATGGCAATCAACTGGCACCGCTTTGTGACTTGAAGACCAAGTCCACGTTAGTTAACAAGCAGATCAAAGTTTGTTTCCAACTCCATGAGCCGTTCTTTCCAGCCATACGATGAATTCTGACATTTTCAGTCAACATGAACTGTTGAGTTGAAAAAAGATGCATCAATTTCAGTGGTTTAAATTCATAAATCCCCCCAAGCTCCCAGTTCATTCGTAAGAGTCTAGATGGTCAGGATAATTGGTTTACACTCAATGGACCTGAGCTTCAAGTCCCAGACATGGAGGTCAAGACATTACTCATCAACCAGGCTTTGTTGTGAACATCGATCCACATGTGTTTGAAGGTCAATCTAACTACCTTTCCACATATAAGTCAAAAACTGTTGAAAGGTGTAATGGGACGTACAAACATGTAGGCAATCAGCCTGCATCGATTCACATTTCTGAATCCTACCTGAGGTCGACACACGGATATCAATCGAATTTGCATTAATACAAACTAGAAAAACCCTTGATAAACATATCTTGCTCTACTTCTCATGTCCCAGACAACTGACCATTTTCTATGACTAACCCCAGTATTTCGAACCGGTGCTAGTCCTAGACAGACTTGGTCAAGCAATGTGAAATTAAACTTGGACAGAGACAGTCAAGTTTACATCGGAAATACTTTCATAACTAAGGATCTGAATTAAATAGATATGATACAATATCGACTTGAATTAATGACAAACACGTAGTAGAGAAGACTACTGTAGAAAGTGGAATCGTTCAGCAGCATGATGAGAGAAAGTTACAACATGAACTCCACTGGAGATTTATCAACAATTTCTTGAGAACCCTCTCAAGGGCACTTCCGCTATTCCAACATCGGACTATCTGTAATTTTAAACCTTCAACAACTAGCTACCCTCAAAACCTCCTTCTCCTTAGCTGCTCGCTCCACTATCCGGCGTTCAAGCTCTGGTCTAAAATGTCTGATTAAACCCTGAACAGACCATGCAGCAGCATCTCCCAATGCATAGATAGTGTGACCCACTATATGCTTTGTAACTTCCTGTGTCATGAGAAGAGGAGAAGACGAGAGTAAATATCCCACCAGAGCAAGCCTTGCCACTACAATGAATCAATCAATAGTTGCAAGTAAAACTCGGGAAGAATGTGGGTTAAATAACCAGCTATTGAGCTCTAACATGCACAATAGGATAATTAAATTCACACCATGGATGCCAAGTGAAGTCCGTAAGCCAGTTTCATCCATGAAAGTATCAACAACTATAAGTCAACGATCTAATATCACTTGAGAACCCAGATGCACTGGACAAAGTCAGCTGTCTTCGATGGGAGTTGAAAGCACTACATGTATGTAATCCTGAAACTTAAATATTGACCTTTAGGTTGCCGTACGCTTTAGGTAATGTAACTGATGATGATTTTCTCCTAAAGTGAAAAGACAGACTCATGTAAAAACACAAGAGGACTACCTGCAACATGTCAGTTTCGTCTAACTTTGCATTTCCAACCTTCAATCTCTCCATCATTGTCTACAACCAAGGAGAGCCCTCTCGGCATGGCGTGAATTGTCGGCAACTTTCATGTTTGTAGAAGTAAGATAGACGAGCAATAGCGTCCACAACATCTATGGATTTGTCCATCACAATCACAGCGGCAGTGCCGAGGCCTGTGTCCAATCGCAAGGAAAAAAGGTTACACAATTGTAAGACACTCGCCAATCTAGTATGTCTATGGACAAACCCTCATGAAATTTTAGAAAATCTATTAGATCTGAGGTATCCAGCTTGCAAAGCGAATAGAAAAGAGTAGTTTTGTACCTCGTTCCATCAAAAAACCCATTCTCATGGAATGATGCACCAAATGATGCCACAGCAGAAATTTGCCAACCAGTGAGAACTGACCTGATTGAACAGCCTTCAAGGCATCAAAAGCCATAATGAAATCATCACAGATACTCTTGGGAAGAAGAGGCACAGACAATCCTCCTGGAACGATAGCCAAAAGATTGCCCCACCCACCTCGCACCCCTCCACAATGTCGCTCATTCAGCTCCTTCAGTGGGATGTGCATGGCTTGTTCACATGACCAGATACACAAAACAACTTTTTCCCTGAGTTATTCTTACGCCCGAAACTCGAAAACCATTCAGGTCCTCTTCGTAAAATAGTCGGAGACACAGCTACGGTTTCTACATTGGTCACAGTGGTTGGACAACCATAGAGACCAGCATTGGCAGGGAAGGGTGGTTTGAGTCGTGGTTGGCCTTGTTTTCCCTCAAGGCTCTCTGAAAAAACAATCTCTTCTCCGCAGATATATGCACCGGCTCCGTAATGAATGTATACATCAAAATCGTACCCTGAACCGCACGCAAACCAATCAAACCAAACCAATCTCTCCAATCTCTCCAATCTCTCCAATCAAACCTGGAAAAGAATTGAAAAAGAAAAGGTAAAATGTGATACAAACAGATTCAAACCAGAGTGGTGCAAATAAAACTTCATTCAATGCACCTCGGCTGCAGCACCCAGACACTCCAAACACCGTTCCTTTCAAAAGTTGAATCACACATAAAAAACCTTCATTCGACCACCGTAAGTTAGCCACTTCATCTTCTTTGATTGATGATCATTAAAAGATTCCCGTAGCTGAATTGAATGTTGTTTAGCAATACCATTCAAGAAACATCTATACAAGATGCACCATCAGCATTTCCTCAATTTCGACGCATCCTGACGCCACCGAAGCAACTGCGCAATTCCAAGAAAGAAACAAGATGCACCACTTTCAAAGCCTATTATTTCAGAATTTATGGATCTACGTCAATATCAAGAACTCTTCATTGCAACGCTTTCAAAACCATAGCCCTAAGCTCTATAAAACATAGCTAACATTTCTGAACATCACTATACTATTACCAGATGCTGTAACCTTTATACATGTGTATGGAACAGTAAGCTAACTGTCGTTGTCATGAGAAAAACCTTTGGGGCATTTTGATAAACACAACTCAGCTACCTACCTGTTCAGTGTCATTCACAGAAAAGACAGAAAAGAAAAAATAGGATTCCAAATTCCAGCCAAAAGAATTTCCAGGAGCAGACCAAATTATCTTCCTGGTGACACTCACGAAGAGAATTTTGCAAATGCAACCGCTCGTTCACATACTCTCTTCGAATATAGATGTAAGCTGTGCGAGCACGATCCCTACACCAGCAATCAAGCAACCCTCGAGTAGCTTGTGTGGGTCATGCCTCATGATATCCCTGTCCTTATAGGTGCCAGGTTCACTCTCATCAGCATTAACCACCAGATATGACGGACGACCATCAGAAACCTTGAGCATAAACGACCACTTCAAGCCAGAAGGAAAGCCGGCACCGCCCCGTCCTCGCAGACCCGACTTCTTGATCTCAATTACAGTCCAATCCGTCCCCTTAAGCACCAAATCTATGGTTCTGTGCCAATCCCCCGCTTCATCGCGCCCTTGAGGAAGGGATCGTGAATACCGTACAAATTGGTGAAAATCCTGTCCTCGTCCTTGAGACGGCCGAACTGCGTCTTCTCGGCGGGTGGAGGCGGAAGAGGTGAAGCCTTCGTCTGCGCTCCAGACGTCTCCTTCTCACTCGTCGATCGGATCCATGACAGAATGGCGTTGAGGCCTCGCGGCTAAAGCCCCGCGACGCTGCCATCGTCATAGCCAAGACACGAGTTGCAAACACACTCACGCGCACCGTTTCACACACGAGCGAGGTCAATGCCACACCCTGCACGACTCCAGGGCTGTGGATGAATGTGAATATATTGATGGATGGTTAACGGACAGCGTCATTCAATTCCGTCGATGAAATTTCTGAATGATAACATTTCACTTCAGCATCAAACCTCTCTTTACAATTGAACATGTAAATATACACACAAATGAGGCCATCCTTGATTTCATACACTTCTCTTAAATTATGTTTAATTTTGTGACATGTGAGCACTCCTCTATCTAAGTGTATCCATTTTCCTTTTTTAATATGTTCTAACAAAATTAATTTAAAACACCGTAAGGTTTAACACACATAGTGTTAGGCCTTAATGCTACAACTTATTTATTATTTGGATTAAGCATATCATTACTTCCATCTTTGAGTTATCATTATACATAAAAAAATTAATAACAATCTAAAATGTAGTTGTACAATAAAAAACAATTTACTGTTATTGAATCTACACAAATACTATTGTCTTGTAAGTATGTTACCAAGCCACTCTTACTATTTTTTATATTTTATGTTTCATGGATTCATTTATGCATTTATAATACACAACTAACTCATAAAACAGTTCGTTTCATTATTTATCAACAATTAATAAATACTGTGCACACATTAATATTAACTATTGATTCTTTAAAACCACATTTGGTTGAAACTATGGTTGTGTAAAAGATTTTTGCAAACAGTTTTTTTCATAAAATCTTCATATGAACAGAAAAGAAAAAACACAAACCATATATCCAGTGTATTTACAAACCTATAAGCTGAACAAAAACATATTAACAAACAAATAAGACCCAACCAAGAAATATGAAAGATAGTTACAAATTATATGTCTTTGGCTTGTTAAAAACTTCATTTGGAAAACTACCAAGACATGCAAAATTCCATCTTTGACAGTTCCAGCAAGAGAGCACACTTCATCTACTGCAACGGCACTTCCAACCCCCAAATCTCCGCAACAGTATGGAGCAGCTCAACTGTTTTTCATGGAACGGAATAAAAAATGTAGAATTAAGTTTGCATTCTGTTCAAGCATTTCTTCAGCTCAATCCCATTGAGGCCTCGCGCATGATTTGAATGGAATCAGCTAATCAACACACACAATCTAACGTGGTCCACAGTAAACATGTGAGCAGTTATTAGAATGTGAATATTATAACTATTTCTGGCCTGTGAACAGAAGAAGGAAGGAAGATGTAGGACGATTCAGCTTGAAGCAGGCCAGAAATTGAGAGCGGAAAGATTGAATAAAATGCATGACGCATGGTACAACAGACTCCCCGAATAAGGGAGACAATAATGTGGGTCTAAATCTCTTTACAAAACTAATGAATGCAACACATGTGTAGGTAATGTACACGGAAACATTGGTACTAGTGCACACTTTAGAGCCGAACCTTCTTTTCTCTCTCTCTCTCTCGATTACTCCTCGGGGCCAAGGGACGCAGAGGGAGGAGGGAAGAGAGAAGAAAGGAAAACCTAAACCCTAACAGCCTGACTTGTATCCTGCCCATTTGCCACGCTAGAAGAAAAACATCTTGCTCTTGGTGAATTTTATCAATCATTTAATCTGGAGGACAATGGCATGAATTCCACAGTCTCTACGTTGTCGGTGCTACATATGGTCCTCCGTGAATGTTCGTTCCTGGGTCCCTCTTGCAGGAGCCATACCTCAACACAGGCAAGTTCTACAGGATGGGGACTTTCTCCTGGGAAGGTGAAAAATTAAATTGTCACTTGTGCTGTGCTGTGCTGTTACTGGGGAAAGGATAGCTATGTACGCAACAGGGAGGAAGAGAGGAAGTATTAAACCATGCTGCTGCAGCTGCCCTCTTCACCTTCTTGACCTAACCCTAGAACCTGCACCCAACCAACCAGTTTCGGATCCTGACCAGCATTGCGTCCCGTCGTTGAATGAGGTGACGGTGTTGATTATGAAAAGAGGACATCGAACACCATAAGATGCCAAGCCTTGAGAAAGCATGGTCAGTGCAAAAACGTCAATTCCACTGTTGGAGAGGAGAGAAGAGGGATTACAGATGGTGTTGGCCCGACTGCCGCAACATGTCGTCCAGCAAGCCCTGGTAACTCTGAGCATGAGGGAGCGGGTTACTCAGATCGAACATCTCTTGCGAGGATCTTCCAAGCTGGGGATCGGGGATGACCATAGATGCTGGCATTGGACCTTGCAGCTCCTTCAACAATCGCTCAGCTTCGAGCTGAGCTTGGTTTAAAGTTTGTGGAGGGTTGTGTACGCGATATGAGTCTGTGGACGTGGGGATGTGGGGCATGTGTGGTCCAGCTGGGAGAGACTGTGACGCTTGGCTCATTGCATTTGCGGCAGGAGTGACGTCGCGGTTGGCAGCGTCGAGATCGATTTCTCCGGAACGGATCTGCACGCTGAGGTCGAATTCATTACGCTCCTGAATAGGTGGGAAGGGGAAGCTTGTTCCAGCAGCTGCCCGGTTTTCCTCCGAGGGAGCAGTATTCGAGGAAGTATCCGAGTTCTTTAAAGAGGCGGCTACTGCGTTTGCAGCCTCGGTGACGGGGCTGAGATGGTTGTGTGTGCCCTCATAAGTTGTGATTACAAGTCCTGGATCGTCCGCCTTTCGCTCTATGCGTTTTCTCACTGGACACGTATGGCTCGTGCAACGGTAGTAGCTCCTGAAGAACCAATATCGAGAGGACATATTAAGCGGTCAGAAGAGGAACTGAGGGAAACTCAAGCTGCATCATCGGACATGTTGGCTGTGGAGTTTCAAACTGATGTACTGGCAGGACGAGTGCAATGACGAACTTACCTTGGGTGCGTGCTGTTCTTCACAGCCTTCTGGCCATACTTGCGCCACTTGTAGCCATCTTCCAGTACGTCCACTTCGCTGCGCGTCTGGATTGCGTATCGGGGTTCCCGCACCCGCTTGTTTAGTTTAACAGTTCCCTTTTTCTCCTTTTTGGTCGCCCTGCAGCGAGATCAACCATAAAGGTCATGTCAGACTGTGCTGTTCGAAATTGCACCACTGATTTCGAAGCCAACAGATTTGCACACATGTGAAACAGTCTCCTAGAGATTGTTCTGAGAAGGTGAAAAAGCGAAATGCTTACTGCTTCTTAGTGTCAGGTTCATCAAGAGACTGGGTCTCTTCACTTTCGTCGAGGGCGCGATCGGGCGTCTTCCGCTTCGAGCTGCTTACACTTCTCTCGAGAACACCAATTATGTCAATGGGAGTCCCGCCATCGCTGAAGTAGCCACCCTCAGAACCGAAAGGCGAGTCGAAGGGGGAGTTTGGGGTGCTTGTCAGGGGGCTGTTCATTGGAGAGACGTCACTCAAGCGCGAAGGGGTTGGAGATGGAGATCTGCCCCGCCTGGAAGAACTTTCCTGGTTGCTTACAGCGTCAGACGACATTCCGGACGAGGCAGCCACAGAATTCATGTCACCATTATAGCTCGACATGTCTGGTAGCGATCGCTCTCCAACTTTGACAGCCATCGGTGAAAGATTCAAGAGCTGGAGCAAGGGACCAAAATTAGAAGCTGAGGGGCTCGCATTCTGGGGTGCGGGGAACCATGGATACTCGGGCGACGAGTCCAACAAGTCAGAATCAGGGGGTGACAACTGATCAAAAGGAGCAGCTGACAATTGCACGTTGTGGTTTGGTGTGAGATTACCGCCGGTGCTGTTTGGGAGGTTCAAGCAATGGCTATCGACAGATTGCGGTGAATGTAAAACCAATGGAAACTTGATCCAGGGCGCAGTAGGCGATGGCATAAAGATTGACATATCAAACGGGGGCGGAGAGCTGAGATAACTCGGCTGCTGCTGCTGCTGGGGTTGGAAGAAAGCGGAGTTATCTCGAGGAGGAGGCGACACTGTCAAGGACGAAGGCGACCTGGCGGGCTTGGCCGCACGCTTCTTCCCGTCTTTGCGGCGCGGCGAATTTGAGATCTGCACATCCTCATCTATTATCAACTGGTCGAAGATACTGCTTGGATCAGTTTCCGCCTGAGGCTGCTCACCTTCGCCCTCTCTCGTCATCTCGGACATACTGACTCCTTCCCCTGTGATCGCTGTCTAGGATTGTCGATCGCAATCTCAGGAAAACCCAAAACCACTTAAACCTCCAAGGCTTCACTGGAGCCGCCTATGAAGTTTAACTCAGGTGCTTGCAGCTTGTTTCCACAAGCAAAATTTGATGGTTGTAGGACTTCATCACTATGAAGTGTCACACCCCTGACAAGTGACCCACGGGATTCGAGATACCAGGCCTTGCGACTGTCCAGGTACTAATCCAACTGCTCCGCCTACTGTCTCCTTGCGTTAAAAAGCCCCCTAAGGTCCGTGTGACTTAGACTGCCACTAGCGTGCATACTACATAAACCATCTAATAGACAGCAATTGTTTCCTTGACGGGGAAGGGCGAGGGTTGCCGCCGCACCCGCTTCAAGGCAATGCATGGATCAGCCACAAACGTAGATCCGCGAGAGAGGGGCTGATAACCTAGAACAGCGCTTCCTATGCATTTCCTAGTGCCACACACCAGTATCGCGACTTGGGCGCATTCGAAATCCCGCTAGTCTGTAATGGTCCTGCTATAATCCTCCCATCGCCCTTTCGGTTCGGCACTGATGCCCTCGTCACCTTGTGTGACCCACTACCAGCATCCAGAGCTTCGGAGAAAAGCTTAGCATCAACAGCATATGATAGATTCCGACAGAAATCCTTCCCCGCTTTTACACTCTCTACAAATCTGCAACAAACGGAAAGTGAAACCCAATGCATGCCTTAGAAAAATGAATAACCTACGAAAGCAGAGGAAAGGAAACAAAACAGGCACGCAGCTTCTGCTACACGAATCACCCACCCACACGTGCGGTTACATGCACTCAACAGATCTGCCACCACTGCAAGACGGCATGAGATGTAGAAGACACCGCGAGTGATCCGCCAGTGCTAGGTAAGAGGGGTTGGTGTGAGACGGAGCCAGTGGATATCTGCATCTGTGCCTCGTGATGCATAGCTCTCCAAGGCTAGTCGATCCCGAAATCTAAGGACCTGAGAGAATATAGTATGTACTTTAAACGGGTAGGAGATGGGATAGCAATCCCGCTCACCTCGTCTTGCCTCCGCTTGCCTTCGCTTCTCTCTCCGCCGCTTGTCGATAGCAGCAGTGTGAACCCCAACGAAAAAGTCTACCTTCTCACTGGAAGGACGAAAAGTAGCCCGCGGGGCCTGGGCCGGTGCACGAGCAAGTTGCGGACTGGACACCGATCCAACGATAGTACATGTCAGATATCCCATGCCCAGTTCGGTGCTGTCGGTAGTTTGAGACCTGCTTGACACGAAATGCGCATCCAATGAAGCGACAGCGCCGGGCCGAGATGTGTAGTGGACACTACAATATGCCCACCTCCACTCCGACCATGCGATTTTAAACATCCGACGCGCCCTGCCAGATGCCCTCTAATTCCCAGACACGGCGCAAGCGATTCGTGGCCTGGCTCCGTTTTCATCACACTTTCTACAGACCTGTACTGCATCCCTCATTTCTTCCTAAACGCACAATTCACAGACAGAAACTTGAAAGGCTTGGTGGCCTTTCACTCTCTGAAATACTGCCTTGGCCCATTTGGCAGCGCATCCTGAGCTTGTGTTAATTGCAGGTTGGTGTAGGAAATCTGCTCCTGGTCTGTGTTGTGTTTGTTCATGCACGCACTAGATGTCCTGGTTCATTTCGAAATGCACCTAAAAAAATGTTTTCATAAGAACGATTTCGAAAGACTGGCGTTATGAAGGCAGTAAGAGATTTTTTTTTTTTTTTTTTTTTTTTTTTTTTGCAACGGTGAGATGATCTCAGAAGGGTTATTTTATTTTATTTTATTTTTTAATGTCTCGCTTTTTTTTTTAATGGTCAGAATGATATCCAAATATAACGTAATACTCACAACAAAACTAGATAAACATATATATATATATATATATATATATATATATATAAATGTATGTTATAGTTTTTCTTCTTGTAATTTACTACATCAAGTACGGCCATGTGTTCATAATTTTCACAGCATAATATATTATCTGTCATGCAAGTTTTTCTTTCTCTTTTCTTTTATGTCCATATGTCATTATCCAGTCTACCTGGGTCCACCTTGGATATGGCAACTCTGTGCACTGTTCACATGTAGCCCTGATTCCAAAATCAGCTCGAGTCTTTGTCGCTAGTGTGGCTTGCATTGATACATTTATAGACACATATATTATCTCGGCCATTCGTCAGCAGTTCCATGACAAGCACGGAATCACTCCATCAGTTTAAATCGACTTCATCCAACCACAGGGAGTCGTAAAAGCAGGATCACTCACCTCCAAGCAGCACACATCCGTGCTCTCCCGAACCATTGAACTTACCATAGCATCGTCGATTCGACAAGCCACTCGAGCGAAGATGACTTTTGGAAGGGGGGGGGGGTTACATCTAGTTTCAGGGTGACGATGTCACGCTATTAGTGGGATTCGAAAGAATCTTCAAATCCAGGCTGTTCTGACATGTGGGGTGCCAACAGCGCATGCGATGCAGAGCGAGCACGGCGCGAGCGATGTGCCGCCGGGGCACCACCCTCAGGAGCCTGTTAATAGCGAGTCCTTTCATCTCGGCTGGCCGCACCCATGTTTTTTAATCGAAGCCTCCAGCTGGGCCCTGGCCAGTTTTTGTATTCGATAATCCCACGCTGATTCTTCTACCGCATTCTTCCGACCTTTCCAATCCCGTGTTGTTGCTGGGTCTTTCTCGCCCCCACTGGAGGTGGACATCTCTCTTTCTCTCTCTCTCTCTCTCTCTCTCTCTCTCTGTATTGGGAAACCTCCACCAAAACCCCTTCAACGCCAACACCACAGCCACGCCATCTCCACAGAAAACAAACAGCCCCCTACTTGCCTGCATCCCCCCCCCCGTCTTGAATGTTGCCCCCAGCCCAGGTGTAGGCTCTCTCCCAGATCTCTCTCACACAGCTCAACAACACTCTCCCCATCTACCCATTGTCACTCTTTTCTTTGCAACTTGGGCCAGCCCTGAGAGGATCTTTCCAACAAGAGCTAGTGGGTAGTGTACATTGTATATTCATTTTAGTGTAGAGATCACCATTGGAAGTAGGGAAGTTTGACTTTTGTGCGTCTTGGGAATCGCGTAGTCCAGAATGGGACATTAACTCTAAACCAAAGGTTGTGTTTTGCAATTGCAAGGGACAAAGAGAAAGTCATGGTCACTGCATGTGTCACACACACCCCTTGCCTATGTTCAAGAAATGTAGTAATGTAAGTTTTCATTTTAATATTAATATCTTTTATACATTATGTATAAACTGTGTTTCTGTGCAATTTTTGTGAAATCCGTTTTTGATAATTATTTAAACAATGGAAATGAATAAAAAAAAAAAATCTCAATATTAAATGTTTTACAATACTTAAGTTAGGAACGTGTATTCATGTTCCCAACACACATAGCAATAGTTTTGTGCCGGAAATATATAATTATGAAGTAAACTACTGTTATTAGAATGAAAAAGAAATTAAAAATAAAATACAATGACTTTTTTCTTTGGAATGACATTTTTTTAATTGCATTTAATGGTGGATGTGTTTTTAAATTAATAGTCAATGACAATGCATTTCTTTTTGTGTTGTGTATCATTGCTGATGTTGCTTATCAACAGTTTTTTCATATCATTACATATTGAAATGCTTCATTTCTTGCCTTATCATTAAAGCAAAGTTTTCAAGGTTTTGATCATGGATTGAATAAGTCTCATTAGAAAATTTAATGAAATGTATTGTTTCTTTTTTATTAATGAAGTTTATGATGTGTATTTACTTTTAAACATAAATTGCATTTTAATAACTTATATAATATTTTCTAAATACTATTAAACTAAAGTGCAGCCAAAATGATGAACAAATCTTTGTAGTCAAAACAGTATTTCATGATACAATGCAAAAACTACTCGTCAATTTCATTTTGTGAATCATTTTTCATTTTCATTGCTACATTATACATGTTTTTCATAATAATGTCATTTCATTAGAAGGTTTTTTGATATTTGAGACAACTAGAAAATTCTACAAGTACAATAAAGTTAGAAGTGTATAGAAGCTTATTAGTGATTAAAAACATGGTTGTGAGTGAGACCAAATAAAAATATATTAATAAAAATTTAAAAAATCTACATATCATGTTTTAAGAAGTTTCAAATAAAAAGTAAAAATTAAACAACATACATTTATTATCCATGAAAATGTCATTCTATGAACTTCCAAATTGCATTTGAATTAAGTAGGGCAAAAAAAGTTTAAAATTCAAAACAATATTCTAACAATTCATATCAAGTGAGCTGATGTTATATTTATGAATAATTCATATACACCGTACATCTCTCTCTCTCTCTCTCTCTCTCTCTCTATATATATATATATATATATATATATGTTTTTTGTTATTTGCTATTTAAAATTAAAATGATAAATTAATTCCAAAATCATGTGTAAAATATCTCATAAGCAAAGTAATCTCTAGCAGGACACTTCAACTTTGGTTTTAAATGAAGTCACACAATTGGTTTTCCTTCAACAAGCAAAGTTTTAACAAATGTACTTAGTATGCACACTATTGGTAGTAGAAATAAAAAAAGAAAAAAAGAAAAGGAAAAAGAGAAGAAGCAGAAACATAAATAAAATAGTCAAATATCTTTCATCTTTTCCTCCCTCAAGTAAAGTTTGTCATTTTCCCCTTTTCGCAGTTTACATTTCCTCAGCTAAAAAGGATTTCAAAACTACAATATATTCGTTCACTGAAGGAACGAACGAACAAACGCAGAAGGGATGCATGAGCGAACGAAGAAGAGATGAATGAACGAACGCAGAAGGGATGAACGAACGAACACAGACGGGGCGAACGAACGAAGTCGAAGTTGACGAGGGGGGAGCTTCGTTCGTTGGTCTTGCTGCAATCATACTGCGTCGGCGACGAGAGACACCTTGGAAGCCACGAGACGGTGCATGGAATCGGAGGGAACGCTTGTTTCGCTTGCATCGCTCGCGCCGTTGCATCGCGAACGGGGATTCTCGCGTCACCACCCCCATTACAACACACAGGATCCCGCACTACGAAAACTCTTCATTTGGGTCGTGAATTTGAGCTGCTTTGCTCCTCAACTGACGACGAGGGTTTTTAGCCTTTGTTCGAGGGGTTGTCTGTCGCAGATGTTGTGGAAACATTCTAGAGTCGCGTTTTCGGCAAGGTTCGTTGCTGGGTTGGTACCACCAAAGATTTGGGTGGCAAAATTTGAACGCGCTGAAGTGTTTCCTTCGTTTTGAAGAGTTGGGACGTTCGCATCGGATGGGAAACAGGAAAGCTGTCTTTTTGCTCTCAAAGGGTGAGGGAGATTCTCGTGGTGAGTTTTGCGCACGGTTTGGTTTGTGAGGAAAGCGATTCTGTTTTTTTTTTTAAACGTGGGTAACGAATCGTTCTCGCTGGGGAATCGTCTCAAATGGAGCGGATATTCCTGGGACATCGAGGCGATTGTTTTGATAATGCGGAGGAGGTACATCGTCTTATCTTTGTTCGCCTTGGATGTTGTGCCTGTGGCTATGTGAGGGTATTCACTTGTTTGAATTTGCCAAATCTTGTTCGAGACGAAAGACATATCTAGATCTGGTGTACAAATTCAATGTCGTGGTTCTTGACTTAAATTTGTCTGCAGAAGGGTGTATGTCCATCGTTGAGGGTGTCTGGATTCTTGTCTTCATAGATATTGCTTTGTACCAAGTGCAGCTAATCCGGGATTATTGGGTTTTAGCGGAACTTTAGTGTGATGAATTCGTTGAATAGTGTTTATCTCGCTTGGCATGTCCAGTCCTGGATCTGATAACCCCATCTTTCTGTTGAATGTTAAATTGGTTGCCTCGAGTCTGTTAGGAATTTTGCAAGTTTTCGATCATGTTGTGAATGGACTTCTTTTCAATTCCAAATCGAGTGCAGAGATTCTTCATCTTTACTATTTATGCTTCCTCTCTGTAGGATTCTCTTCAGCTGAGTGAAGAGTTGAAATACTGTAGTAATCTGCTGATGCTGACAGTATGCTTTTATGGCAGGCAGTTGGAGAAGAGGATTTGAACCTAAGAGAAGGAGATGCTTGACTTACTGCCAGCATTGGGTCAGGCGTGGACATATTTCGAACAACTGATACTCTTCTACATTGCTCCGCTGACCCAGGTAATATATCTTCAAAGCTACAATTCTGGGTGCCAGTTCGCGTCATTTGAGCTTTCATTAACAGCAGTGTGCAGCTGATCCTTTTACGTTGGATCCGGCTAGTTATGTGATAGAGTTCTGAATGATTTGATATTGATTTACAGTACATGATAACGGAGCTTGAAAAGCATGGAATTATGGTATCAGCAGTTGCAAGGGGCTTTTCCAAGACAGACTCCTTATTTGCTTCGAGGAGTGAGCGGGGGATTCAAGAGGCTTCGAAGGAAATGTCCCTCCACAGATGGATGCATCCCGTGTATGAGCTTGATGCTCTGATTACTTTCCTTGTCAGTGACCATGGGCACTCCAGAACAGAGAATGTTCGCATTGCTGGCGTAGAACATTTTCTGTCAAAACCTCAGGTGAAATCCTTGTAGCCGAACAATCTGCTTGATGGTGCAAAATCCCCAATTACCCGCAGTCGTGTTGCCTGGAAACGATTTCGACATCTTTGAGGTACCCAGATACCTCATTTGTCTTGACAAGTAAAGTAGATTTGGGTAAAATTTTAACAGTCCACGGATCGGTCTCGAATTATGCAACATTGTCTCATGCATGCATCTAGTGCAGTGAAAGTCAAAGCTAAAGATTCATCTGCTTCAATAAAGGACCCCCTTGTATGTCAGCCAACTTGGAATAATGCACAACAGGGCGATCTTATAGTGACGCCCTTGGTCTAAAATCTGCTACTCCAGCAACTTGTGATGCATCTAAGATCAATCCTATACAAGCTTTTCTGTACTTCACTATGTATACGCTATGTATAATTAGGGCCTTTGTCTTGTAAGACATTAGCCAACGACCAATTTTAGAAACCAGGTATCTTGCTTAAGCATCCCAAAGTTGCCATGTAACGAAGTGGTTCTCTCATATTCTCTGTCGACAATACCTAATTATTTAAAATGATTGACAGAATCTCTAAATCTTGTAAGACCATTATCTTTGCATGTATATTCGACCATCGTCGTGTGCGTTGCTATACGATCTGGGTGTACTCTCCTGATCATTGAAACCCATCTAAGGGTTGAGTAAACTTATCCTTTTAACATTACTCGATAGGCTGACCATGACCATTATACCGAACCGATTTAGCCACTAATTGAAGTCTAACTCCAATCTGCTCTATGCAAACAACAAACAGATGTGTGCACGTCATGGCAGCCAGTGGGCTTTACTGGTCTCTGGGTTAACTAACCTCACGCCGAAGAAGGGTTGTAACTGTAGTTTGGTGCGCGACTTTGAGTGTATTGAGGCTGGCTGGCGCTCATGCCACTTCCTGAAAATCGCAGCTCAGTGTTGGGGCCCGTGGTCGGTGCAGGAAGCATTGCATTGATTGTCGAGCGCGGCTGCTCGTAGTTGAAGGTGAAGATCGACTCCAGACCTTCGTTGTTACTGGTACCAGAAAATTGACCCATTGAGGAAGCCCGGGATGTGCTCTGGACCTCCTCGTCGGAGATTGTTCGATTCTCAGGAATCGCTCCAGTGCCAGGCCGGAGTGGCATGAGCACGTTCTCAACTTGGCGCATGGCGCTGTCGGGAGCGGGTTGTCGTAGACTCAGAGTCGTTGGTCGCTGGGAGGAAGTCGGTCCTAGCTCCAGCAGCTGTCGGTTGAATTTGTCGAACTGCTGGCTGTCGAAGGGGCCATCCACGGGCCTGGGCATCTTCCACCCAAACGGAAACTTTGAATTAAATGCCGACAAAATGTGGCTTCCTAGAGTCCCTGGCTGGGGTTGCATTCCTCTTTGGAGGCCCAGAACGCTTCTTTTAAACTCGGGCGAGGATTCTGCATCCACAGATTTGTTCTCCCCCAAGAGCAAGCTGTCCATGAAATGATTGTCCTCTGGTTCAGGAAATCCAGTGAACGAGCCGAGGCGAGGGAGTACTAGCTTGGGGTCATCGATCTCTGGCAACGAGGCTAGCACCTGTCAATTTCAACGAGCATTCCAATATCAAGAATAGGTAAATAGTCTACGCTCACACTTGCACTGTGAAAATGACTCAATAATCATTCCTAGCAGAAATTTTTATTACAGTCCAAACCCATCCTCACATCGATTGACCTTGACCCAGTTGTATTCTTCGCTACAATTCAACCATCACTTCGGGACCACAGGATTGAGACATGATGAAGGACGACCCACTACACGGTCTAAGGGAAAGTAGCCCCAGGCACAGTCTGTGTGCTTGGCAAGAATAAATCATGACTTGTGTTCCAGATAAGGGACCACTTGAGGCCCACGTGTAAGGTGCGTGAATGCACCATGCATGTCACAGTGATGAGGTTATGGCCATATTTCTGAACAGGCCTCGCCACCATTGTACTAGTTGTATATCAGTATTTGACCAATCTTGTTTTTCGTATTACAGAAGATAATTTTAGTAACTGAAATGTCGTACATGCATGTACACACACTTTCTCTAGAATTCTAAAATGTGTACAAAACATTAAGTCTGGAACCTAGCACTTGCTTCTTTTTTGATGGCTGCTGAGCTACATTGACTGTGCTGTCACTGAAATTGCAAATATGGAGCAGCCGAATATAAACACGCACACACCTGAAATAATATCCATACTTTTAAACTGTCTACGTCTGGTTCCTGTATGTCTTGACAAACGAATGAAGCGTTTCTGAGCCGACATCTCATTCAGAAAAGGTAGAGTACATTTGCTTAAATGCAGAAAATGTAGGGTAAGAAGTACCAAATATAGAAGAAAGATATCTGCTCAGTAAAGCCTCATTATGTATGCAATGAGGTACATTTAAAAGAAAGAATAAAATACTTAAAATTTTATAAGTTCCTTCCACATATACGTTTGTTACTGATATAATCTTGACATTCGTGCATAAATGGTGTTCTTCACCATAAAGATAAAAGAAAACTTCAATTTTAATCAAAATTTATTCAAACGAAGTTAGATCTGGCATGCAATCAAGATGAGAGGTTACCTCTTCAACACAGGAAGAGCTGTCACGCTCCTTCCCAGTACGCTGCGCATTTGTACTCTTCTTATAGATCCGGCAGAGTACCCAATCATCCAACTGTACACAAAACAAAATGTAAATCATCAGCTTTCATGCATTGAAGAATATTTATGAAATGCGCATAAGATTATTTGCAGATGCACTCAGGCACCGAGACTACACGCAGTCCGATGACGCAAAGTCCAAAGGCCGACAAGATTCAAACAGTGTAGGTGCTTAGAATATGATCCGTTGCTGCAGCCTCCTCACAACAAGGCATTTTAAAATCAGATGGTAATGATCTACAGTATTTTCTTTGCCCTTGGGCGCCAGCCTCTGTGGCCATGTACTGATGTGTCGGAAAAGATTAGCAGTACGATTAGATGACAGGAGCTCTTAGTCTGTGCAACATACTCATAGAATTCCTTCAAGGTCACTTTGAGCTTAGTGTTGAACAACAATATCCGCAAAGGTGAGGGAAGAATCTGAGATTAAAAAGCACATACACGAAGGGAGCCTTTTCTGTGAGCGTGCACAGATGCACATACTCCCTCGGCCAACCGATACTCATGCATAATCCAGTTGGTCTTCACCCCTTTTGGTGCCCGGCCTTCGTAGAACACGAGTGCCTTCTTCACTCCAATCTTCCGGATTCCCCCTACTGCGGTATGAATTGGTTTGTCTGTCCCTGTGGCTTTCCAGTACCCTGAAGCGGCCGCTCTGTTGGGCCTGGCTCCATTAGGGTACTTTCTATCTCTAGGACTAAAGAAATACCATTCCCTCTCTCCGAAAATTGCTTTTCCTGCAGCAAACATGACATTTTACTCAAAGCTCAGTATTTTACAACTGAATCGTTATGTTGGATAGTTTAGGCGCTGCCTTCAATTTGTGAGATGATACTAAATTCATAGCCGTAAAATAAAACTTCGCTGAATTGCACCTCACATCCATGAAAGACCAGGTGATCCATGAACATAGCACTGTACAAGAGAACACGTTGAATTTACTGCTCCCTGTTGTGGCTATGCAGCAATTAATAATGCTCATGATGAAAGTAACAATTAAAAGATAAAGTTAATAAAGGTTATCATACCAGGAAGGTCCCAAGGGTCGAACTTATACAGGTCAATTTCGGCAATAACAGGAATCGCGAACACCTTAGACTCGGCTTTCCGACACAGGTAATGAAGAACCAGCTCCTCATCGGTCGGATGGAACCGAAACCCTGGTGGCAGCTGGAGTTGGGCGACCGGTCCTCCAGAAGGTGATGACATAATCACCATCTCCGTCTGAAACTCACAAAATGCCCTGACGATTCTACTGGGTCTATTTTATGTTGTTGTAGAGTCAAGAACCTCCAAGTACTTCAGATAGAATTCTTTCACCTGGTCGACTATTTGTCTCAAAGCAGTATACGAATGCAACTAACTTTATGAGGTGAATTTGAGCAAGCACATGTATACAAAGGTACTATGATCCAAGTATGTCTTGCGGACGAAGCAGATTAGAGGAACGGAGGACTGTACTCGGTTTTTTTAATGCACTTAAGGTTGTCCGCTATATGCAGGAATATCAATGAAGGATACTTGGTAAGAATCTAGTGAAGCTTCTCTAACAACGACGTATTCTACTGTTTGGACAAACTATATCGTGACTATGACCAGGTAGAAGCCTATCAATTATTTCATGAGATGGTCGCTCGTGTTCGGACGCAAGGAAGAATAAGACTTAAATTTGAGCTAAATTGGGTGGTTTTGGCAGCACCGGGTCTGGTTGGATGAGGTGGGTTTGGATGAATAAGAGAGTATGGAAGGGCAGGGCGTGAGAACAAGTGGGACTTGATAGAAAAGCTTAGTGACCATTGGTTTCACAAGCTTCTGCATTTGTCTAGCTAAAAACAGTCGTGATCAATAGATTCCTCAAGGAGTCAATTCTTTCTACGATATCATCTTCAAGCTAAAGCTGCTTCTCTTTCCTGTTGACTCATTCTAATCGGCACTTATACTTCTCGTCTGCTTCAACTCCTCCATACTCACTTTGAAAGTTTCTCAAAACTTGCTCTGAAAAGCCTCCTGTCCTCTTAGGTGCCGCAGCAATCCTTATGCGTAGTCAACAGATGAAGTGGGAATTGTTTCCCAGTTATCCTTCTCAAAAGTCAACGGTCGCATAAGATGCGCTGGTGCATGTGCCAACCCAGATTGTACACCGTTGTTAATCTTTCGAGGAAAGTCTTCTCTTCGAGTTTTCAATGACTTGAGGCAGGATCTTGAGCAAATTATGTGATATGCATTAGTCCCGCGAATTACCTCAGAGGGAACCGAATTACGGAGGTTTTGAAAGTCTGAAAGAGAGGTAGTCAGTGTCCAGGCCCGATACTTATTCTGAAACACACCAGTTCTATTTCAACACCAACCTACTTTTAGCACGAGGTGTCCTGAAACGATTCTTCAACGAAACAAACCCCAATTGCAACTTGTGAACCCTTTTGAATTCGTTCCAAACTTACTTTCTTCAAGAAGGTGAGGGGCTCCAAATCGAAAGTACTAGGTACCACCAGCAATCACTCTCGTATTCTCAGCAAGGGGATTGAAGTGTTCTCTTCACCCTGAAGGATTAAAGAACGGAAGATCAGGCTCATTCAGCTTAGTACCACGTAAGCAGGTTTGCTAGGTTCGAGAGCAAAACGAGCCCGTTCTCCTGCATGCAACCCGCTTCACAAGCTGTGAGGAGAGCAGCACAATTGCCAGGCGATCTTGAACTGTTGATAGGAGCTAGAGCTGGAAACGGGTCTTTCAATTTCACGAATAGAGCTGGCACTCGCCGTACACTTATTCTTGATCTTTCTGGACAGTATCAGTCTGTTTTTCCCAACACAATGGAGAAACAGGCGCAACAAGGATCGCGAGGAAAATTCCGTTCAAGTGTTCACCAGAAAATTCCTTCTACAGAACAAAAATCAACGCACCCCTCTTTCGCTCTCTCTCTCTCTCTCTCTCTCACTCTCCACCTCTCTCATACACACTCACTGAAGCTCCCTCTCGCTCTCTCTCTCACTCTCCATCTCTCTCATACACTCACTTAAGCTCCCTCTCGCTCTCTCTCTCTCTCTCTCTCTCTCTCGTGACCAATTGATCGTTACTTCTTTTCGCTTCAATCTGCAGCGTCGATCATGATCTACACTTCATCCCCTAGCGACCAGTTCATCACCACAGCACTCAATCCTCGAGACCATCACCGGAATCAGGCTACCATCGGATCCTGCACCCCAAACGGTACATGCAAGCGAATAGAATCTTCCGCACGAGAAAGTTTATCCCCTCCGCCCACAAGCTCGAATTCAAACCAGCGATTCCCAATCAATTCCGCATAAAATCGGGTGAGGTTTGTGTCGCTGGAGAGATATTTGACTGGGGCATAGCATAGCAGCGCTGGGGCAAGCGGGTAAAGGCCCTTTTGGGATCACAAGACTTGGTGGCGGCCCAAAAACTGTGATGCAAACGTCGTCCAGTGGGAGGATAGGAGGGAAACGACAGAGAGCAAAAAAAACATAAAGTGAGTTGAGGGCGAGTGAGAGCCTGCGAGCAAGACAAGAGAACCCCGCCCAGCCGGACTTTCGCGGAAGCAGGGCCTCTCCTTCCCTCCCCCGCCCTGGCTGATGATCTCCCGCCGCGTCCCCCTCAACCGGTCATTCCCTCCAAGACTTCTCCCTCGTTCGCCACGTCAAGATGACGACCGGCTGTCACCCGGTTCGAATCCGGGTGGAAGCGCGCGGTGATAGGAGTCCTTTCACGATGTGTTCAGACAGCACGCTGTCGTTTTTCTTACTCCTTATTAGAGGGCTATTAATATCCCTCTCTCTAGTCGTAAGCAACGGTAATAAATATCTTGGCTTCTATTAAATCTTTCTTATTTCTAAACCCTGCTGTATGACTTGGACTTTCCACCCTCACAGTGTGGCTTTTCTTTTTGTGTTTTTGTTTTTTCTGTCTGCAAGACATGAAGTGCTCACACAATAGGAGAAATAAAACATATGAATAAGTTTTTTAATACGTTAATTTTTTTGTCGATGGCACTTGGTCTCCGTGTCATGTATTCTAGCAGCAGCAGCCAGAGCAAAGGTCAGGAAAGCAGGGGATTATTGGGTACTAGTTTTGTTTTGGTGGAGGATATTCTGAGAGCTTCGTCATCCAGAGAGATCTGTACTTTGAACATACATACATAGCTTTCTTTAGAATGAATCAAAATGGGTGGGCAGGTGTATGGGCACCATGCTCACTCCTCCATATGAAGGGGTTCTCATGAATGCCAACAATGGATGGATGAAGTTGTCTCTTTTTGTGAGTCTTTTAGTTGATTCCTCATTTCCATTTTTTTTTTTTTTTTTTTTTTTTTTTTCCATACAAAATGCAGGTATGTGCTTACAGTTCTTTATGCATGCCAGAGGGAGCCAGCAAGGCATGCCACATCATCATCAGGGCCCTACTACCACACAAGCTGCTGCTTAGTAAGGGACCCAAATCTGCTCTCTCTCTCTCTCTCTCTCTCTCTGCATGTCTCAGTTGCCTTACATCTACCACAGCATTCATTCACACCACAAAAAAGTAAATAAAAATAGTGACAATGATAATAAGATCAGTCAAATGTTGCAAAGTGAAGTTGACATAAACAGTTGTTATAAGCATGGTGAGGTTGGCAAAACATGGGACATCCAACCATTGAAAAAACAAACAAATATTCAGCCAATCTCATAGGAACATTTCAAGTTTATTGAAAGGGGGGGTAAGTAAGTAAGTAACAAATAATGTTCCCCATCTTTCTCCTCCTCCTCCTCATCTTATTGCATTTACATTTATTTATCTCTTGTTCATCAATTTGTACTCCCATAGGCTTTTGGCCAATGCTTTGCAAAGAACAAAATATCTCAATTTTTATGATTTATTTATTTATTTAATTTATTTTGAGGGTATTTTGAATCATGGGTGGAAGGGGGTGGGGTACAGCTAAGAGGGTAGGGTGGATTCAATGCAAAGAAAGGCCATAATTGTTGGTAAGCCAAAGGGGGGTTCCGGTGGCACCACGTAGCTCCTTTTGCTATCCCAAACATGTTATTCTATCCATCAGAACGAATCCATCATGTGTGCAATGGGAGGAGTGGATACATCCCTATTCTTACCCAACCCCCATTTCTCTCTTTCTCATTCTCTTAGATATATATATATATATATATATATGTATATATTTGCAATTTTCCCTTCCAAATGTTGTGAGTGGTGTGTGGAGGGACATCCATTTCTTCATGGTACTACCCCTGCCCACAGGTGCTCTTCTCCCTTCCCTAAGTATTCTCACATTTCATCTCACCTTGCCAATGCTTTCTAGCATCATGTACTACAACCAACAACAAACAACACATCATGCTTGAACAAGGAACTCCTTAATGGAAAAAAAAGAGAAAAAAATAGGAAAAAATAATTATATCCATTTATTTTAAGTTGGTTTTTTATGAATGTAAAAGAAACGTACAGATGAAGAAAAGAGAAATAGATATGATTACTTTGAGGGTACATTAAAAACAATATTAACGTTTAAATAATATTTAAATATCCATTAAAATTAGGTGGGGTACATTCTTTGTATTCTTCTTATTCTTTTAGTTCACCATTATAAATTAACATCAAAGACTTAAAGAATAACGATTAAAACAAAACAGTATAAATGATATCTTGGCTTGGTTAAATTAAATTTTAAAGTGAAATAGATTTTAGGCGAATTTTGATCTATATTTTTTAAAAAAACTTGCTAAACATTTGAGGTCTTTAAAGGAAATTTTGTATGATAACTTAAAATGCATATATATATTTATTTATTTAAATCATAGTGACTATTTTCTCAAGTTACAAATATTTTTTTGCAAATATATATATATATATATATATATATATATATTCTCAAATTATTTAATTATTTATGTTTGTGCATATACACAACACATGATTATTTATGATAAAAAAACATATATATATATATATATATATATATATATATTTCAAATTTTGTCAATTATGCACCCATTTTGATGGAAACCCCCTAGCCAATCAAAAGGACCTTGTTACATCCTATGGATTATCTATCTCCAAGTCCTTTTCCTTGGCAAGATAATCAATTCTATTCTTATCTTATCAACTGGTTGGGAATAGAGAACGGCTGGGAACAGGAATGGAGGGTTCCAAGGGTGCATTGATGCTTAAAAATAGAGTGGGTTGCTTTATCGTTCCCTTATAATATGTATATTATTTGGATATATGCCACTGCGCGGTCACCACGTAGGAAGGGAGGAGAGCATAAAACCGTGTGTGGGAACCAAGCCCTAACGCCACTCGCCGAAGCAGCGTTAGGTTGAAGAAGCGTCACGCTCTTCAACAACCGATGACTTCGATCCATCGATGGATCTGTCTTTCGCTTTCCGCACGTCAATCGTCATTCCCCGAAGGATCACTACCACGAATCCTCGTCATGGCTCAAGCTCTAGTTTCTCCATTGTACGATTGCTCGCGCCGATAATGATACATTGCTCCAAAGGTACATTTCACGATCTCATGTGAAACGGGTTAGAGACGACTCTTCTCACCATATACAACAGGTATGCAGAAGTTTGTCGCCGTGAGCGCTAACCGCCCCTCGCTAGAACAAATGCAAGCTGCGATAGAGAGAGCGAGGGATGCTGGGAAGTTCCCGCAGCGCAACGCAACACGAAAATTTCGATGCGGGAAAGGAACAAGAGAAAGGGTGCTGCTTCAACTGTTTCCTCACTCTCGGACTCGTGCGTGTTGGAGCGGCAGACCCGGTCAGCACAGCTCTCTCTTGCTGCTAGCATTGAATCGTACTCGCCCATATCTAGTCTACTTCGGCAAGCAGGCGCAGGAGATCCTGCGTCCCATTTCGATCTCCGAAAAAGCTCCATGGTTTGCAACTTCGTGGTCCTCACCATCGCAAGCGCTCACTGAGTCGGCGCTACGAAGACCATCGCACATCAGCAGCATTTCCGGATTTGCAAAAGCGGGCGCAGAAGGCAAAATCTCGGCCTCGAGAGAGCGACGTCGGTGCCCCACACACATACACAAGCCACCGTCGTCGTAGGAAACTCGTTGGATGAACAGAGATAGTCGATGGGATGAATGTTGGATGAACGATATTTCGTTGATGAATGTATACCAGTGAATGAATGAGAACTGGATACAAATGGGTAATTGTATTAACGTACTTTATTTTGTATTCGAAATGTAAGGGCGACATGAATGAATAATCTAAAAAATTATTACAATGTATAATAGTGGATTTATTATGCATTAATGTAATAGGATATTTGAAGTTACAATTTTATTATGAAACAAGAAACAAGTTCTCAAGATTGAAGATGTTGTTCTTACTTTTGTTAAAGTTTACTCTCATGATGTTTTTTTGAAAATAATAATAATAAATAATGCACATGAAAACTTGAGTAACTCTACTCCTCGATACTTTGCAACAAGTGCTAAGTGTGTAAATATTCGTTGAATGTTTTTTTCATGTAAAAACATCTATGAGTATTGAGGAGTACAATTTAAGTATTGTAAAAATTAGAGGCTTAGCAAGTGCACACTTTACAATATTTAATTATGACCTTACTTAGCACATTCAAGCTTAACACATATGATTTAAAATAGTTTTGATAGAAAAAAATATAAATTAATAATATTTCCATGTGTATTAAGGATTCAATTATTATGCAAAACGACTAACAAAATTGAAGAACAAATGAGATGTGAAAAAAAATGAAATGAATAAATTTTAAATTTTATAAATAACAGAAAAAATGCACCAATTTTTTCTAACAGCCAAATTGTTTTGTTAAAGACTTTTATTTCGGTCTTGTATGATGATTTAATACAATACATTTGTTTGGATATCCAAATTTGATTGTGCATTTCAATCTTAAATCAAGTTCTGAGTAATTGTATACTCTATATAAACTGTTTCAATATCATACATCACGTTTTTAATTTAATTCTTTTGGCTCCAATGTATAATAAGAAAACTTATTTAAAGCATTGCAAATCAACCTTTTGGTCATTGAAGGTTGAAGGGAGCCATAAAATAAAATAAATTATATTTTACATTTATTGATTATAGGATGAAAAATAAGTTGGACTTTTAAGTTTTGTTTACACTTAATTAGTCTAACCAATCAAGTTATCACAACTTTGTATCTTTTCTTCTAAGAGTGATTTTTAGAATACATGATGTCACAGATAATGTTTTTAAGGACTCATTTCAAAAAAATAAAGTTGAACTTATAAAATTGTTGTAAGGATGATATATATATATATATATATATATATATATACAAAGTTTTATTATGTATATATATATATATATGTATGTATAATAAAACTTTGGTTACATCATCAGTACCCACAATACTGAAACATGGTGAAACATATCAAAGTATAGTTGAACAATTGGACTATATGTATACACACACACACACACACACACACACATATATATATATATATATATATTTATATTTTTAGAGAACATCCAAAATGTTAGCACTTGCTAAGACTACAACAATATATCACCAAGAAATTAGGCAGTGACTTAAAAGGTAGCAAGTCCACATATGTATTCTTTTAATATTTAAGTTTTCCTTTATCTTTTTTTTAATGTTTACTAATTTTTTAATTCCTTCAATCTTATGAGAGCCATTCTCTGTCTTTTAAAAAACAACAAGAAAGCTTGTCTCCCTTCCCCATTCCCTTTCCCTTTGACTGTGGGATCATGCAACCCAAATGAGGTTGCCCCATCCTCTTTCCTTTTTAGTTTCTTTGCATTTCAGGAGTTTTATGATGTGGATGAGCTGGTTTCTCCTCCAATCCATTGCTGCATAGTGGCAAAAGAGCCACTATCGTGCAAGCCAGGCAGAAGAATGAATGATGGATGGGTGGGTGAGAAGGTGGTGGTCCATGGCCAAAAGAACACACACCCATTTTTTTCACGTGTTAAATCTTGCACACACACGTAAATCATTTTGTTGCCTCGGCTTAGCTTAAGCCCTGCCCCACCCCTCATCCAGACCTGCTAGAATGAAAATGATGTATGCACATGCATATATATATATATATATATATAGGTACTAGTGGTTTTACTTTATAGAGTTCAATTAGTTAAATATGCATATGTTAACCTCAGCAGTAATTTGTGAAACTGGATCTGTGGATACACAAATTGCAATTAAGAACAGAACCACACAAGTGGCTGTTAGTAGTGTTTATGGCAGAGTTGCAACTCCAGATGACCTAAGGTAACACAGAGTGCTAACAATTTGACCAAGATTATCCATTTCCCTAGTGCTGATATGTTTGCATGGCTGAAAGGGTTTTTAAGATAGGAACTGAGTTGGCCAGAGGAGGTCATCGCTTTGACTGGGGAAGCTGCCATGCACAACACTACTGGTCCTACAGAAGAAGAAGCAAAACAAGAGAGCGAAAAAGCCAGTGTTGGAGACCACAGTGAGAGTGGGTGCACCTCCCTTTGATTTTCCACTTGGTAGGACACATGGGCCCCAGTGGGAGACGTGGTGGTCGTATTCTTTGCCACATCATTGACAATGCTACTTGCATGGCCCTCTTTTCCAAGGTTGCACTGCGGCTCAGAGGACTGCTCACACTTAACTGATGGATCCACCAGGGTGAGAAGCTCTTAACCATTCCCACCTGAGCCAACTTCCTCTCTGACATTCTTTCACATTCATGTAATAATAATAAACTACTCGCCTGCCATGGAACTTTCGAATCCCACAACTAGTTCAAAGAAAAAACGAAACATCCTGGAGCAAATTCGGCAAATGGATTTGCGCTCTATTTGTTGCTTCAGCTTACACAGAAGAGCAGGCAACCTTACACTTCATAACTGACTACCAGCCAGGCAGTGGTCACACCCCAACTACACGATGATCTTTAGGAAAGTACCATACTTGAGATGCACAAAAATGAAGTAGCAGTCAGGTGAACTACAATACACAATGCGCCGAAGTTCCCTATTGACAGGATTTCCCTGGAATTTACTTTCCCTTTCAAGTACTACTACTGAATCTTTGCGTTGATAAAATTGAGCAAAACTTCCACGGAAGATCGCGGTCACCTAACACATACTTACTACGAACGCTGACTGGAGATCAATATACTTTTTAAAATTCAATTGACATTAATACAAAATAACTGTGAGGGACGGCCGGTAGCAGAAGCACAGCCACACGGTGATTATCATAGAAAAACAAGTTTTAATGGGTTTTCTTAGTGTACAATGGACTCGTGGATCAGAACCCAAGCAATTATACCAGAACATCAGCTCTTTACCTCATGTAAAAAGAACTCGAATGTAAGGCAAAGGCACAGAAAACGTACAAGGTGTCCAACGGGAACAGATGTCATTGTTTAACACTTTTCTTGATCGAGAAACTACAGGTAGAGGAGGAAGATTTGAAACACATAAACCTGACTTAAATATTCGAAAACCGAGTGGGTCAGATCGCCCAAAAACATCCACCAGCAAATGCCTCACATGGAACTTGAAGAAGTGAAGGCACTAAGTGACATTATGTATGCCCCCTATTGGCAGGAGTATACGAGCAATGTAGGCAGAAATTAAACTACACATTGTGCAGTAGTATTGACATACCACACTAGGGTAAAATTGAGAATATTAGTTCCGACATTAACGAGCGTTGAATCATAAACTAACAGGTTTCAGGGTAGCCAAGAGTTCTCAACCCTAAAAACATCTAGAGTTCTTCAATGAAAACAATAATTGTTGGACAACCGTCTAAATGTCTACATTGCTTTCGGGGATCAAGACAAATTTCCCAGGTTACTAAAATAAGTGAAACGGAATAAACTGAAAAAAAAGAAACGCAAAGAAGAGGCACATATCAAACGAGAATCGTCATTCGAGGATTCAAAGTCAATCCAATGACATTCAGTGGGGAGTACTAACAATCCATTGTGGTTGCCAACTTTGGTGTGCATTACGAGAATTAGATTAACCATAAATTGAACAATCCCACAAAACATGAAGTTCTCATAGCTTGCCCTGCATACTGCCGCCCTTAACGCTTGCCTCCAGCTCCGGTCTTGCCAGCCTTGGGCTGAGGACCCCGTGCCACCTGCTTCCCCACTCCCTTCGTCGTCTTCACCACCTCGGCCTTCTTCGCCTTTTTCTCATCCTTTGTCTTCTTGATCCTCTCCTTGATCTCCCGCAACGCCGCCTCGCGGGCTGCGGCACGCACCTCCGTCTTCTCCGTCCTCTTCTTCTGGATCACCTCGAGCGAGGCTCCCACGATGGACCGAGAGTACGGCTTGTTGGTGGTGCGGCGTTTCTTCTTGACAGTGGTGTCGTGAAGGTCCTTCTTGTGCTGCTTCCTGAACAATGCCGTCCATGACAACTTAGCGGGCTTCAGCCGGTTGTGAAAGTACCGCTTGCACTTACTGTTGAGGAAAAGGAACACCTGACTGTCGCTCCGGATGAACCTGATCCCCCGCCCAGGGTAGATCTTGGCGCCGGAGAACCTGCACACCTCAGTCTTGAGCACCATGGTTACGAGCTAGCTAAGCTATGGCTGAGCAGCGGAAGCGTAAGCGCGGGAGGGATGTGGCAACGTCGCTGCCGCCAAGAGAGAGAAATTCGAGGCCTCTCCCCTACCTCAAAAGCAAACCCCACCCCTCTCCCCCAAAACCCTAATCCCCCTCCACAGCGTCCATGTTCCAATATTCTTCGCACTCTGTTCATCCTTCGCCCTCGACGAATGCCATGAAGTGAAGCCACAATTTCCAACGAGAAACTAGTTTTCGTTTATTGGACGATATTCTGAGAGCTTCGTCATGTGGGTTGATGTTTCAATTCTATCATGTTGGTTGCAATTGATCGCCATGGGAGGTAAAGCAGTTGGATAATGATCATGGATCATTTCCTGGGTTTACGTATTGTGTCTTTCTCATTTGAAACCTGCGGTAGAGTTAACATGTCGCAAAGGAACTGCATTGTGAAATAGATTTTTCAACTCGCCTGATTGCAGGTTAGTTCACCTCCAGATGTTGTGTGATAGATGACGTGATTTCGTTCTGTAGGAGGTGAGAATTGGAGTTCCGAATCCAGTTCTCAATGCGAAGTGGTTGGAATGCGAATTTAGAGATGTTGTCATGCAGTGTTTTTGCTATGTGGGTGTTACCACTCCGGGGTTTTGCAATTTGGGTTCAGATTCTGTTTCAAGATTGAGTTTCCATGGCGTGCCTTGTGGAGAAGAGCAGTATGAATCTGCTCTTAACTGTGAATGAACTGGTGTTTTTCTGTTTTACCTCTGAAAGTTTAATTCTAAACACGACATGTTTCCTTTGCTGAACAGCTGGCTATTACTCATCTGTCCACCTTTTCCTGAAGACACGTTTGTTAAGTTCATTAATGACAGTTTTCCATATTTTATCTGGGCGGGTTATAATTTCAACGTTGCAATGCATATCCGGCGGCAACCTTTTGCAAGGTGAATGAAGGCTATCTGAGGTTTGAGTGGTTTATAAGGAAGGTGATTTTGCCTAAGTTGTGTGGCCTGGTAAATGGTAACTTGCAAAAACTGTGGAGCTGAACTAAGCACTCGAACTGTGTATTGATGAAGAGAGCGTCCGAAACGATTTTTGCACAGTTCTGGATATGGTGTTCTCTTTTCACTTTCCAGTTAGGTTTTCACAGGTAGTTGAAGCCCATTCCTGCACACGAATATCGAACTGAGCGTACTTGTAGTACAGACATGGAAGGAAAACTCCTCGGGATCCCTCACTGCTGGAGATTCTAGTTGAGCTTTCAACCTAATTTCCGTGATGCGAATGCACAAAGCATTTCTCGGCGTTCTTGTCTCAGGCTGAACTCTTGAAACATTCCTTGGATATTGCTCCTTGCTACATCTCCTGCATATTCTTGGTAGAGGATTATGGATGCACTCCAAGAGTAAAGAAATTCGATGAAGTTAGAAACAGACTTGCTCAATCAACCTTGTAAAATCTGGGATACAAAATTTGAGTTGCAATAGGACAGTAACCAAATTTTGTTCGTGTACAGAAAACATGTTGAAATATCATGTAACCACCAATCAGCACTTACAAAATATTCATTTTTGTCTACCAGCAACTTTGGTAATCATATTTCTATAACATTATCGTAGAAGATATTGTATGTTTGTTTTGATTTATTTTTCTATTTTGGTAGAAATAGAATAGAAGTCTATTACAAAAAGAAAAACAATCCATCTTGTTATCAGTTGAGGGTAGTTGTCTAACTAATTTTTCTGTAAGTAGGTAGCTACCTATTATTTTACCTTGTATTAAACTAATCTTGTAGTTTAATGTTTCCACCAAAATAAAGACATTAAGTTCTATATTGTTGTTCAAATTTTAGAAATGTACATTGATATGTCTCCACATATTTTTAATTGTATGTAAGTCTAACTTGAATAAAATTAAATAACATAGTTTTTCACATTGCAATAATTCATAGTTTTAAATAAAATAATTTTTGATACATTGAGATATACATGGTAAAAATATAACATCAAAAATAATAAATTTAATGTTATACATTATGTAGTGCTTTATAGTTAGAGTTGATTGATGTAATGATAGAGAAAGAAATGAAGAAAGTAATCAAGCTCAATAGTATTGATAACCAAATTTGTTATAGGTACCACCAAAACTTCTTTTAAATTGATGATATTATTGTCTTTATTTATTTTAAAATTAGATGCATTATAATCATATTATCTTTATTTGACTAGATTTTATTATGTCAAATATCAAATAGTTATTGGCAACAAATAAGATTCTAATTTTAATTATTTTATATTCTATCTTATATATATAACAAATTTGGCATTAATATAATATTAAATATAATCTCTTATGATGATTTTTACCATCATATTGTACAAATAGATTATATATTTAATTTATTATTTATTAAATTATTTATCAAGTAGATTATTTATAATTTGTCAAATATTATTTTTAAAAATCGTTAAAATATTTATTTTCTATCTAATTTATAAATAATTTTTAGATCTATTTATTCATTTTTATTTTTTCTTTTATGAAATGATATTAAAAATCAATGTATTTGGTCTTTAAATGATGCTTTGGATGCTTATCAAGGACATGAATCTCAAAGAACTAAATAATTAATACACTCTTATGCTACTTAAAATGACTAGAAAAACATTCAAAGATGGTATAACCTTAAACTAGAATGGTTATTACCAAAGACAAGAAGACTAGAAAGTCTTGAAACAAGACTAAGAACTAGAAAGGCATTAACAAGAGTGAAGAAGACTTTATTCTTACCTCCATATATACTATCTAACTAGAAGCTATATAGTGATGTTTTTATAATATAACACGACTAATAGGTGAAAAAATTATTATATTATAGAAGATCTTTTTTTAGACATACGTGAAATTTGAGAATAATTGAAAAGTTTGAAAAGGAGATATTGATGCTAGAAGTTTAACATTCAGATTAGAGTAGGAGGCAAGCCAACATCCAAGCAAAGTTTAGGATTTTTCTTCGATTTGATAAGTACAATTATCTTCAAATATTCTGTGCTTGTTATTAACTTAATTTTTGAAAAGTGTATAAATTTTTAAGCAAGATCAACAATTCAATTGATAATTATTGAGGTTCTTTATAGTACTAGGATTACATTGAATTGATTAGGATTTGGTTTAGAATTTACGATTTATTTAGGATTTGGTTTAGGATTTAGGGTTTGTCTAGGATTTGATTTAGGATTTAGAATTTTTCTAGGATTTGATTTAAGATTTTGGATTTGTCTAGGATTTGGTTTAGGATTTATGATTTGTCTAGGATTTATTTAGGGTTTGATCTAGGATTTAGGATTTGTCTAGGATTTGATCTAAGATGTAGGATTTGTTTAGGATTTGGTTTAGAATTTAAGATTTGTCTAAGATTTATTTTAATATTTAGGATTTAAGATTTTTCTAAGGTTTGGTTGAAGTCCATTAGGATTTTAAGGAGGATTAAATTAGAACTTATTTGAGATTTATTTAAGATATATTTTTAATTATTCTAATATTTTTTAGGATTTCTTAAGGATTCTTTTAAGGTTTATTGTAGATTTTCTTTCAACTCTTTTAAGATTTCTTATTATTTTTCTTATAATTTCTTTAGGGTTTCTTTTAAATTTGATTAAAGCTGATTTGACATTGTTAAGGTTTAATTAGAGTTTACTTAGTATTCTATTAGAATTAAGATTTTGTTGTATCAATTTCTATTCTACCTTCCACAGCCAAGTGCCAAGTACATTCTCAAGGAAGACTTCACGTAATACAACAACGTCCTATAGGACCTCCAATATATGTTTAATTTGCAAGATATATGTCTTAACTTACAAGATAAGTTTCTTATATGCATACCATATCATTAGCTTATATCACAAGCTATCTATACATGCGACACATGACTCATTTGTTGGCCAAGTTTCTATCCTATGAATCAACTATAAACATATATAATTCAAATACACATCTATAAAGCTTCTAAAAAGCTACGCCATAAGGTAATATCAAATCTACCTACATTTATCTTATACCTAATACTTCTTATCTAAATAAATATGTTGTCCATGACATTATCCTCCTTTCTAGGGATGAGTTTCATGAAGAACAATCATCATATGTTGAAGAAGTTAAAAATGCAGCAAATTATTTTTGCCACATATTTTAATCTTTGTTTCTTTTGAAGGTGGTTGATAGGTCTTATTAGCCATCAATAATGTTCTATTCTAGGACAAGAAGACTATTCCATTATTTGGTCATTGTTGAGGCCTTTGTAACTTCTTTCAAATAAAACATCTATGAAACTATAAAAAGTCATTCTAATAAAATCACCAAACATTAAAAGTCTCTTTTAAAATTATTATATGGAATGTATTATATCTTGTCATCTATTTGACGTAGAATTTTTTGTTCTTGATGATCTTCATCTTTATTATGTTATCTTGGAGGTTGTGATAATTACAACATATCATTTGATAAGTCAATAAGTAATAGCTCTTAAATTGAATTTGCTGATTGTTGATTTTTATGTTCTTAGTACTATAAATATATATAAACTATAAATAAAGTAAGAAAATAAAAAATATATTTTTTTACATTGTATTTTTTTTCAAACAAATATTTATTATTCTTCATCTTGATTTTGATAGATGTTATTAATAAAAAGCATCAACTTTCTTTACTGCAATTAGAAGATTCTTAATTGGCTTCTATTTGTATTTATTAATATCATATCCACACCAATGAATAAAATATTCTAATTTATTTTATCACTACTTTAAATCTAAGACTCTTTTTATTTGAAATTCTTAATTATTATCCACTTCTATGAGAAGAAGTAGCATGTGTCTTTTTCTCGAGATATTTACTATCTTATTTGGCTCAAAAAGAGATATATGGAATACAAGATGGATCTTAATAAACTCCAATAGATATAATCAATAAGCAATCAGGTTGATTTGTTTATAAATAGGAAATAGTCTAAGCTTATGGTACTTTAATTTGTCACTAGGGCGGCTAGTCTTGATATTATGACAAAGTAATCATATCTTATTCTTAATATAGAATTAAAGTTGTTTCTTGTGATAGGCATCTATATAAGT